ACAAATCGTACCCATCAGAACATGTCGACTCTTACCCAGCTACGAGATAACTCATACCCAATTTATGAGACAGTTCGTACCCATTTATATATATATATATATATATATATATATATATATATATATATATATATATATATATATATATATATATATATATATATATATATATATATATATATATATATATATATATATATATATATATATATATATATATATACAGTGGGGTATGCTATAACGAACGGATCCTACTACGAATATTCCTATAACGAACGGTTTTACCTATAAAATTGAGATTGCTATAACGAACGAAACTCCTACAACGAACATTATTTAGAAAAAAAAAGTTCTTTTTTTTTCTTTTTTTTTTACTAATTTATTGTTTTTTTATTACAAGTATTAATGATGTTCTTTATTTCAGGGGTTTAGATGCTTATTTATGCACTTTTTTACAATTTTTACAATTTTATATTATATTTTTCAGTGTTAAGTGGTTGTATTTGGGGGCCTGGAACGAATTAATCCTATAACGAACGAATGCTATAACGAACAAGGTTCTAGAACCAATTAGATTCGTTATAGCATACCCCACTGCATATATATATATATATATATATATATATATATATATATATATATATATATATATATATATATATATATATATATCACATAAGGTATATGCTGATAACCACAAGGAAAAAGAAAACACGAAGTTCCCAAGCGCTTTGTGTAATTCACATCTTCAGGGGTGAGTACAGACTAAAATAGAAGTGCAGAACAAGTTATATATATACAGAGGAGGGTTAGAACAAGTCCACAGAGGTCAAGTATAGGTAATGACCCTACTAATCTTTACAAAAGCACCGCAGCGGTCGGTAGTCAGGTCAGAGGGAAAACTGACCCAACCTTCTCACCTGGTTACAAATCTTCTTAATTACAAAATTGTCCAATTTGTACATACCGTTACTCAAATTCATGTTAACGGATTCGGTATGTTTAATGAGACTAGATTCTATGATGTTCCTACTGTCAATTGAATTACAAGGTAATATTGAGGAGGCATTATCCCAGTCAATGCAATGTTTATTATCCCTCAAATGAACGAACAGAGCATTGGATTCCTGGCCTGTCCTAACACTGTATTTATGTTGTTTAAGTCTAGTTACAAGATCTTTACCTGTCTGGCCTAAGTAAAACATATTACATTCCTTGCAAGGGACTTTATAAATGCAGCCATTTGTATTATTGGGGGAGTTCTTGATTAACATTTGTTTAACAGTGCATGAGTTTTTAAATGCCACATTGACGTTCCAGGTTTTTAGTTGTAAAGGAATTTGAGAGAAATTTTTGTGAAATGGTAATACTAGGAGATTCTTATGGTCATGGGTGAGCTTGGGATCAGTTCTATAAAAAGATTTCTTAGTAATGTTCAGGCATTTGTCTATGAAAGATCTAGGGTATTTAAGGTTTGAGCCAATATTATAGGTATACAGTAGTTATATTTCTCATCAATGAATTCCGGGCTGCAAATTCTCAAAGCACGTAAAAACATTGTTGAAAATACTGACTGTTTGACTCTATTGTGGTGGGCAGAATAATAATGAATGTATGAACACACATTAGTAGGTTTTCTATAAATACTGAACTTAAAAGTGTTACCTATTCTGTGGATCAGACAGTCTAGGAAAGGCAATTTACAGTCATGCTCTATTTCCACAGTGAATTTGATCGAGGGGACTAAGTTATTAACTTAATAACTTAGTCCCTTGCAAGGAATGTAATATGTTTTACTGAGGCCAGACAGGTAAAGATCTTGTAACTAGACTTAAACAACATAAATACAGTGTTAGGACAGGCCAGGAATCCAATGCTCTGTTCGTTCATTGGTGTAATTTAAGATTATTTTCTTTAAATCAACACTGCACTGCATTATATATTGTCAATATGTAAAATATATTTCAAAATGACCAATAATTTGACTGGAAACACAGAAAAAAGCGTTTATGTTGGAGAGTCTCAAACAAGATGTTCCTTCCTCTGAACCGGTAAACAAACTGACGCCAAGCTTGGTGTGTTGAGTGGCTGTTTGGCGCGCAAAAAAATAGCTTCCTGTACTTCAATTATGTTCAATAATTGTTAAGATGACTAAAAAATTTAATATAAAACTTTTAAAATTATTGAATAGTACTTCCTTGATATTTACTAAAATGGAAAGGAATTTAAGCCATAAAACCGATTACTGTATTGGCGGACTATTACTACAGCTGGTGGGCAGCCAAATGCAGGCGAAAACATGTTGGGAAAACCTCGTAAGGAATTCATTAACCGAGGGTTTGCTCGTTAACCGAAGTGAAGAATCTTATAGAAGGTAATTCGTTAACCGAGGTGCTAGTTAACCGAGGGATCACTGTATATATATACAGTATATATAATGGTTGCCCCTTGTGTCACGAGGATGGCCGGCCCAAGAGCCACCCAGGCGTGAATTTCTTTCATGGTGTAGAAGCTGTCGCCGACACAACTACACCCTGAGTTAACGAGCTACATGACCCAGTGTCAAGGAATAGTCCGAGAAGACCGGACAACTTGCCAACTGCACTAGCTAACCATTACCCCAGAACACGATCCGCAAATCATATTAACATCCAGGTTCCCAATTACTGCTGGGTAGACAGAGGCAAATGGCGTAAAGAAACTTGCCCATAGTTTTACCCTGCCCGGGGATAGAACCCGGGTCCACTCGCTTGCGAGGCGAGTATGTTGACCATTGTACACACACACACTTTCCACTCTAACCTGGCCCATAAGCCATGCCCCTCATTTATGGCTACAATAGCTGATTGGTTCATAGAAAATGTTTGTGTAGCTGCTCATTTATTCAAAGTCAGTGTTCACAATTGGTAAGCAGACCTGTTCTTCCCATAATTAATGTTAAATATGTGGACTATCAAAATGCAATTGATTTAAAGGCATTAACACTTGAAAGAGGATGTTAGAAAATTTTAAATATTATTATAAAAGGTCAAAGTCAAAGGTGAAATTTGCTTTTGAATGAAGTCTTTTCATTATTTCTTTGTTTTGTACCAAACATAAAGCAAACAGAAACAAATTAGACCAAACAAAAATTGTGACCAAGTCCCAGGTTGATGATCTGACTTCCTGCTTCATTTACACACAATTTCAGGATCTCAATTGTTTCTCTTACTTTGACAACACAACATACATAATGTACAAGTACAGTACAGTGGTCCATCGGTTAACGAACACAATTCGTTCCACAGAGTCGTTCGTTAACCGAGTCCATTGTTTCAATGGGATATTGGGTAATTGATTTCAGCTCACAGAAAAGTACATACAAAGTAAAAAAAAAAAACAGTAAAAAACACTTACTTTGAGGTGTGTGTGTAGAAGGTTCCTGGTTGATGATGATGGGAATTAGAAGTGGGGGTGGAGGAGAAGGGAGAAGAGAAGGAAGTGGGGATGGAGGAGAAATCACTTTTCAGGGGACCCATGCTTGATGCAGTAATTTCACCAATAAAATTTTAAGTTCACTACAGGTAGGTGTAATTCAAGATTATTTTATTTAAATCAACACTGTACTATGCTATATATTATCAATATGCTAACTAAATTTCAGAATGACCAATAATTTTAATGTAAAATCAATGTTCACTCCACTGTAAACAAAGCCACACCGACGCCTGGTGGGTGAGTCAAGCGGCTGATGGGCGCACAAAAAACTAGTTCCCTGTGCTGCATATATTATCAATATGTTAACTAAACTTTAAAATGACAAATAATTTTAATACAGTATTACCCCGCTTAACGCAGTTTCGCTTAGCGCGTTTTACCGTATATGCGGTGCCTCGCCAGAGCCTAACTTTCACTTAACGCGGGTATTTTCCACGTATACGCGGTGAGTGTCCGGCTCGAGAGCTATTTTTAGATTCGCCCCACCCGCCATCCTGCCTGACTGCCTGTTTTAGCTCATAAAATTCATACAAATTACCCGGCCAGAATATAATTTACATTGCTGGAATTCTTACAATATGATGATCATTTTGAATATAAACATCATAGATTTTGCATAAGACATACAAATTTTAGATATAATGTTTACTCTGAGTAAATATGTTATTTTTTGTGCAAAATATATGACATTTGTATTCAAAATATTCCTGGTCTTACAAGGAATCCAGCAATGTCAATTATATTATCCTAACTTTAGTTTGAGGTATTATTTATTACTAAAAAGGTAAATATTCTGGTTTTCCCACACATCTGGTAGGGACGGTTGGTGGGGGGTGGGGGGAGGGAGGGACCGACCGACCATCTGTTACTGTGTGAAGAATATTTTTTTTTTTATTAACTGAAGATATTTGTTTTAGCTCATAAAATTCATACAAATTACCCGGTCAGAATATAATTTACATTGCTGGAATTCTTACAATTTGGTGATCATTTTGAATATAAACATCATAGATTTTGCATTAGACATACAAATTTTAGATATAATGTTTACTCTGAGTAAATATGTTATCTTTTGTGCAAAATATATGACATTTATATTCAAAATATTCCTGGTCTTACAAGGAATCCAGCAATGTCAATTGTATTATCCTAACTTTAGTTTGAGGTATTATTTATTAAAATTTAGTGGTTTTCCCCCAAAATTTCTCAGAGAGGGAAGAGCCAGCAGTGTAGTGTGAGAAGAGGGGGAGGGAGTTGAGTCCATTATTTGAATGGACATTAACTTGGCGACTGTATTTCTCTATTTCTCTTAAGTATTAATTGTGTACATGTACCATCATAAAATTAAGATGTTATTTTTACTAGAACATAGGTATTGTGTCTGAAAAAGTGGAGTTTGGGGATCGGGCCAGTTTCTATTGGAATTAATCCCATATGTTCTGTTGTTCACTTAGCGCGGTTTTCACTTAACACGGTACCCCGTGGATTTTATTGACCGCGTTAAGCGGGGTACTACTGTATAAAAAATGCAAAAATATTAAAGAGCACAACCTTCTTGATATTTACTCCTCTGGAAACGAATGTAAACGTAAGAACAGATTTCTGAATTGGTGGACTAGCCCATCAGTTGATGCTCACAACAAAACGTGTTTGTCGTAAGGATTTCATTAATCGAAGTTTTGTTCGTTAACCGAATTGAAGATCCTTATGGGAGCTAATTCGTTAACCAAAATTTCGTTAATCGAACTGTTCATTAACCGAGGGACCACTGTATAGCGTTTCTCATTCTTGATTTATGTTTTGTTTTGTATTTATTTATGTTTATTATTTTTAGTATTTTGTTATTAATCTTTATGAATTATTGTGATAATAATAATAGTTATTGTTATTATTATTATTATTATTGTTATTATTATTATTATTATTATTATAATAATAATAATAATAATAATAATAATAATAATATTTTCGCCCCCCAGGCCTTGATGTGGGTCAGTGACCTGTGCCCGAGTGGGCTAAATCCCCATTAAAAAAATTATAATAATAAAATATGATAAATAAATAAATATACAGTATAGTCTTCATTTACACTGTCAATTGAACCCGTGAAGGTCCGCGTAAAACGAGAAACGCGTAAATGGAACAACAGAACATATGGGATTAATTAAAATAGAGACTGGGCCGACTCCCAAACTCCACTTTTTCCGACACAATACCTACGTTGTAGTAAAAATAACATCTTAATTTTATGATGCTATGCACACACAATTAATATTTAAGAGAAATATCAATAATATTAGGTTTTTTAACACTTACGTTAGTAGAAAAGATGGCTGGGCACACAGGGATGGGGGGTTGGTTCCGAGGCAGAGGGCAGATTATTGGCCCTCACCTGTATCACTTGTATCAATTGTATCACTATCCACCACAGAGGCTTGCAGGACCTCTTTGTCAAACCCCCTCAAAGTCCATATCCTCACTATCACTATCACTGACCTGGGCCGGCTGTGGTGGGTGGCGGGTGAAGAACTCGGTAATGTTTTGTTGACTGAGTGACCTTGTGTGCACCCTGCCCGTGCCACTTCCTGCGTAAATGATGGAATAAACAGTGTAAATAAAAATTGTCTGTCTGGCAAGGTGCCGCGTAAATGACCAAATGCCTAAACCAAATCCACGTAAATCGAGACTATACTGTATAGCACAATAAGTAATGAATTACAGTTACTACGGCAGGATTTTTTTTTATTATTTGCCACTTATCATCTTACCAGCCGTTTGGGTGGTTTATCTAGTGTTAGTTTAGTACTATACTGTGTTAGTGCAGTGGAGACATTTCCTAAATACTGTAACTATTGTATATTTCTAGATTTGCCCCTAATGGGTCCCTGACAAGTGTCATGTGTGGAGTTGCTAGCACAATACTGTACTGTACTGTCTTGTTAATGTTTATAAAAATGGAAGTTATGTGTGATTGTAAGAGAATGTTTTTACTGTTTTACAGGCAACGTCTACAACCAGATGGTGGCCGTCCCGCCCAAACAACAACACCTCCCTCGGAGGGTCATGACAACAGTAAGAGTACACCAGCAGATAAAACAAGAAAGAGAAAAAGATCAACGCAGCTTGTGAATGAGGGTCAAGGTACGGTAACTTTAGTCAATGACATACTCTTTTAATTTCACCACAAAGTAAGTTTGCATAATTTAGGTTCAATATGGCTGCTGCGTGGTGAACTGCCTTACCTATGGGTGCTGGCAGAGCCATTTTTCACCTTGAAATTTTCAGCATAGTATAATCATATGGTTGGTGTCTCCTGGACACTACACCAGGAATGTCAACACCACACTGTTGGATCTACTTTAGGGTTTGATACAGGGCATTTAGTCCAGGTGTTTGAGACAGTATTACATGAGTAACCTTAAAGTTCAATGTAACAAGCTAATACCTGAGACGTTTCACATTAATATATTGAAAATCTCCATCAGTACACCCTGAACCTACCACAAAATTCAAAATTATGTGATCTAGTTTATGTTGCCTGAATTTATGACATCTTGAGATTTTGCCCTTCATCTTCTGTTGTTTTTGGGCCTTGTCTTGGTTGTCACAAAATAATTTATTTATAATTTATGTGCAAACATATATATATTTTTTTATGTAAATACAATAATAATAAAGTAAATAATAGACATAACACTACGAGGTGAGGGGTGAGGTGATGAGGCAGCAGGTGAGGTGACGAAGTGAGGTGATGAGGTGAGGTGACAAGACACTTAAACATAAACAGCACAACTAAACCATTGTCTTATAACATTATAATTTGTATTATATAAATTACTTGATACATGATGACTCAACAGGGCTACTTGTGGACTTAGACAACTGATCAGCGAATAAACCTGGGCATATGGAGATGTATTATACACTATAATAATATTTATTAAATTGTGATAAATATGCTACAATAATATTTACTAAGTGCTCAAGACAGATCCTGTAGTAAGCACCAACCCTCTTGAGTAGTGACAACAACAGTGCCTCAGTGAGTGCTGGCAACAGTGTTAGGTAGAGCAGTGTACCTCTCTGTAAACAAGAGGCTGGGACTATACACAACTGTACAGGAAATCCTCCGATAACAACAGTTCTACTAATGACGATTCATATTTAAGACCCCTGTTAATTTAGGACCCAATTTAATTTACACCATTAATTTCTTTGTATTTGTGACAAAAAATATAATAAAAAAAATCCATATAAATAATAACTAAATCCTCATCTGTATTATACAAATAAAAATAACACGCCTTGCACACGGAGGCTGCCGGGCTTGTGAGTGGTGACGCCAGCATCACTAGTATAAACAGTTGCAGCTGGCGGTCCTTTTGTTTTGATGCATCTGAACAGGAGAAAAACTTTCTCGGGTTTCTTACAGCATTTTTGAGTCCTTATTCAACATGAGCAAGAGAGCAAGTGATGGTAGTGCTGGTCCGAAAGTTAAAAGAAAGCGTATAAGTTTAACCGAGAAACTAGATGTGTTAAAACGAAAAAGGTGAGAGGTCTGTGGATATTATATGGAGCAAGCAATGAACATATTTTCTGAAGTGGATCCATTAACAGAACGAAGCATTAAAATTAACAGGGACGTGAACAACACATATGACCTCTACATAAAGATGTATAATGAGAAAAGAAAGTGAAAGGTTCTTTAGACAACTTTATTACTCAAAGGCCTAAACCATCAACTTCAGCTACACCATCAAATTCAGCATCTTAAGCAGCTTCAACATCAACTTCAGGTTCATTAACAGTTTCAGCAACAGCTATGACATCTTTATGGAAAGCTACAGCTTCAGCCAGAGTTGAACCTACAGCTTCAGCCAGAGTTGAACCTACAGCTTCAGCCACATTTGAACCTACAGCTTCAGCCAGAGTTACATAAGAACATAAGAAAATAAGGAGTCTGCAATAGGCCGGTTGGCCTGTGCATGGCAGCTCCTGTCGAGAGTTACTACCACTCTCTACCATCCATGAATCTATCCAGCCTCCTTTTAAAACTTTCCAGAGTTCCCGCACTTACTACAAAGTTGCTAAGCTTGTTCCACTCGTCCACCACCCTATTTGTGAACCAATTTCTTCCTATCTCCCTCCTAAACCTAAACTTATCCAACTTGAATCCGTTGCTCCGAGTCCTATCCTGCTCGGATATTATAAGAACTTTATCTATATCCCCTTTATTGATTCCTTTCACCCACTTAAATATTTCTATCATATCTCCCCGCACTCTTCGTCTTTCTAGGGAATGCAAGTTAAGTTTCTTTAACCTATCCTGATATGGAAGGTTTCTAAGTCCCGGAATCATTTTTGTCATTCTTCGCTGCACCGACTAGTGAATTTATATCCATTCTATAATAGGGGCACCAGAACTGAACCGCATAATCGAGGTGCGGCCTGACTAGCACAAGATATAGTTGCAATAAGACCTCTGCACTCTTGTAACTTACACTTCTAGATATAAAACCCAATACTCTGTTTGCCTTATTTCGAACATTAACGCACTGTTTTCTAGGCCGTAGGTCCGGGCTTACAAGTACCCCTAGGTCTCTTTCACAAGTCGACTTCTCTAGGTTGATGTTGTTAAGGCTGTATACATTATAAGTATTTGTTCTTCCAATATTAGAAATGCGCTGCACTTGCTGGTGTTGAATTTCATTGCCATTTTTCAGACCACCCCTGCAGTTTATTTAGATCCTCCTGTAATGCATTTGCATCCTGCCTGAATTAATTTGCCGCCCTATTTTGGTGTCATCCGCAAACTTGCTTATGTCACTGCTGATCCCAGTATCTAGATCGTTTATGTAGATTATGAACAAGAGTGGGCCTAGTACTGACCCCTGGGGAACCCCACTGGTTACACGGCCCCACTCAGATTTAACACCATCTACGCTGACCCTCTGCGTTCTATCGGTGAGCCATGATTTTATCCAATTTAAAACTTTCCCCTCGATACCATGAGCCTTAATTTTTCTCAGAAGCCTCTGATGTGGTACTCTGTCAAATGCTTTGCTAAAGTCTAAGTAAATAACATCGTAATTTTCGTCATTATCTACTACCTCGAAGACTTTCCTAAAAAACGTAAGTAGATTTGTTAGACAAGATTTTCCCTTTGTAAACCCATGTTGAGAGTCGTAGATTAATTTGCTTTTCTCTAGATGCGATCGGATGCTATCTGCTATAATTGATTCAAGAAATTTCCCCATTACTGACGTCAAACTGATCGGCCGGTAATTTGACGCTGATGCTCTGTCTCCCTTTTTGAATATGGGTACTACATTTGTCTGTTTCCACAACTCTGGCACAACTCCAGTGTCTAATGATTTTGTAAATAAGTTTACGAGGGGTCCGCTAATCTGTTCCCTACACTCTTTCAAGACTCGAGGGAAAATTTCATCCGGCCCTGGGGATTTTGTTTTCTTTAGTTTATTTATCTTCTTAAGAACATCCTCTTTTCTGATAGTGATATTCTTTAATTTCTCTTCTTCCTTTCCCTTAAATATCAGTTCCACCTCTGGAATTTCATCGCAAATTTCTTCTGTGAAAACTGATAAGAAGTAGCTGTTCAATGCTTTGCTTATTTCTTCACTGCCATTTATCACTTCTCCCCTCCCTGACTTTAAAGGCCCAACTTTGTCCTTGACCTTTGTCCTATATACCTGGAAAAATCCCTTGGGATTTGCCTTGGATTCTCTTGCTATTTTGATTTCATAGTCTCTCTTTGCTTTCCTTACATTTTTCTTAACATTCCTAGATAGTTCATTATACCTGTTTCTGAGCTGCTCCTCCCCTCCCTTTAATTTCTTATATATTCCTTTCTTTATTCCTATGTCATGTTTAAGTTTTCTGGTCATCCACCTTGGCTCATTCTTATTTGACCTAATTTCTCTGTATGGTATATTTTGTTCTTGTGCTTTATGTAGTATACTAGTGAATATATTATAGTCATGCACCAGTGTTGCCTAGCGATAAGCTCCTCAATAGCTGATCTTTTAATTCACCTCCATGGAGTCACACAAGATCCTCACTGGATGCTTGTTGTCTTAATTCCGGTGTGTATGTGTGTGTGTGTGTGTGTGTTTTGAGCTTCCCAAGCACATTGTAAGATTTCTAGAAGTAGATGAAGAGTTTGTTCAGGAGTCAGGTGGTGAGGTGACATGCCATGCCACGCCACTTACACACATTAACAGCACTACTAAACCATTGTCTTATAACATTTTACATTATAATTTATATTTTAAAATTAATTGATACATGATGACTCGACTAAACTACATATGCACTTAGACAACTGATCAATGAATAAACCAGGGCATATGGAGACTCATTATACACTAGTGATGTCACAAAGCTTCCCATCTGCAACCACAACTTCTGAGCAACCACATAAATTATCACAACCTGTACTTAAATGCACTAAGTTAATTACTAAAATTATTATGTCTGGTGCAAACTAAGGGATGTTTATATTCAATTTAATCGCTATCTTACAAGAATTCCAGCAATGCAAGTTATATTCTCCTAAGTAAAGTCAGTGCCATTTTATAAGCATTAAAATTAAACCCCTGTTTTTCATAACCCACAGACTTGACTTAAGAGAATATAACTTGCATTGCTGGAGTCCTTGTAAGATAGCAATTAATTTATGTATAAACTTCTCATAACCTGCACAAGGGATAAAAATATTAGGTAGGTAGTGTACTATACTGCACTGTACTTTATGTATATTAGAGGTGCACATTAGTATAATACTCCTACAGGTAAACTTCCATTTACGATATCCCAATCTATGATAATTACCCTTAACTATACTATACTGCACTGTACTGTAGTGTACTATACTGAACTGTACTGTAGTGTACTATACTGAACTGTACTGTAGTGTACTATACTATACTGCACTGTACTGTAGTGTACTATACTGAACTGTACTGTAGTGTACTATACTGAACTGTACTGTAGTGTACTATACTATACTGAACTGTACTGTACTGTACTATACTGAACTGAACTGAACTGTAGTGTACTATACTATACTGAACTGTACTGTACTGAACTGTACTGTAGTGTACTATACTATACTGAAATGTACTGTAGTGTACTATACTGAACTGTACTGTAGTGTATTATACTATACTGCACTGTACTGTGCTATACTGTGACTGTTATAGCCAATTGTACTCTGAACTTCATGCTGTAGTGTGCTATACTGAACTGTACTATGCTGCTATACAATACTGCACTGTACTGTAGTGGCTTATACTGAACTGTACTGTAGTGTACTATACTGAACTGTGCTATGCTGTGTACTATACTATGCTGCACTGTGCTGTGCTAGACTTGGACTGTCTTCCACTTACTGTGCTGCTGTGCTGTGCTGTACTATACTGAACTGTACTATGCTGTGTACTGTACTGTACTGTAATATATGCTGTACTATACTGCACTGTACTGTATATACTGTACTGTACTATACTGTACCTATGTCGTGTACTATGTATGCTGTACTATACTGTACTGCACTGTACTGTACCATACTGTACTGTACTATGCTGAACTGTACTATAACATGCTGTGCTGTACTGTAGTGTACTGTACTGTAGTGCACTGTACTGCACTGTACTGTACTATACTGAACTGTACTATGCTGTGCTGTACTGTACTGTATTATACTGTACTGTACTATACTACTGCACTGTACTGTAGTGCAATGCACTACACAATTGTACTATACTGCACTGTGCTGCACTGTACTGCATTGCACTGTACTGCACTGCATTGTACTGCACTGTGCTGAACTGCACTGTACTGCATTGCACTGTACTGTGCTGCACTGTGCTGTACTGCATTGCACTGTACTGCACTGTGCTGAACTGCACTGTACTGCATTGCACTGTACTGCACTGTGCTGCACTGTACTGCATTGCACTTTATTGCACTGTACTGCACTGCACCGCACCGTACTGTATTTCTTTAGTGGCTTTGAGTCGGTGCACTAAAGTGGGAATGACAACTGAGATATTCTCCATCACCTCACTGCTGAGATGCCACTTTTAATATTTTATTTGGCTGATGCCAGACTTTATTATTCAGCTCAGAGGCGACCCCATATACAGAGGGTTAAGGGGGTAAGTGGGATAATCCATATTATGTTAACAATTTACTTTATTTTTTCCAGATGAACAAAACATGATGTTAAAAGCAAAACGTATAGGTTTTGGCCAAAACAGAAAAGCATCAAGACAGGAAATATCTACAAACCACGGAGAGAAAGTAACTGAGAAAACACTTCAGAGAGACCCTGTACCAGTAAGTATTGTAGTTACAGCACCTTCAACGGTTTTATATTGTAGTAGGCAGCTACCAAACAGGGAGGTACTACTGCCTAGGAAGATATTGGAAGCATAATGTGTTGTCAGTCTAATGGTAGACCCTGCTGCTATATGTGACCAAGTCCCAGGTTGCTGATCTGACTTTCTGCCTCATTTACACACAATTGCAGGGTCTCATTTGTTTCTCTTACATTGACAACACAACATATATATCTTTTCTCACTCTTGATCTGTACTTGTGTCCCCAGGAGGTCAGGGCTGTAGGGCATGTGTGTGTGTCCCCCAGGAGGTCAGGGCTGTAGGGCATGTGTGTGTCCCCCCCAGGAGGTCAGGGCTGTAGGGCATGTGTGTGTGTCCCCAGGAGGTCAGGGCTGTGGGCATGTGTGTGTGTCCTCAGGAGGTCAGGTTTTGTTGGGCATGTGTGTGTGTCCCCAGGAGGTCAGGGCTGTAGGGCATGTGTGTGTGTGTGTCCCCAGGAGTCAGGCTGTAGGGCATGTGTGTCCCTCAGGGGTCAGGGCTGTAGGGCATGTGTGTGTGTGTCCCCCAGGAGGTCAGGGTTGTTGGGCATGTGTGTGTGTCCCCAGGAGGTCAGGGCTGTAGGGCATGTGTGTGTGTCCCCCAGGAGGTCAGGGCTGTAGGGCATGTGTGTGTGTCCCTCAGGAGGACCCTATGATATGTAGGAACATAAAACTCTCCAGCAGTAGGTAATTCAGGGCTGTGGAGTCGAAGACAAAACCTTCGACTCCGACTCCTCAAATTTTTATGCTTCCGACTCCGACTCCTTGGCCTATTTGTAACAACTATTTCTACCATCCTAATTGTAATTTGTATGTTGTAACCTGCGTAGGTAAAAAGTAAAACACTGTGGCTATACTGCTACAGCTTTATTAATGATCTGGACGATATTTAAGAACTACAAAAAGATGATAGGCTTGACTTTCAAAGTTTCAATCAAAAGAAAAATAAATTTATTAAGAATTCAAGATATTAACTAGAAAACACCATTTACATGTATATCTAAAAGTTCGATCTCAGCACATGAATTTTGTTTAAGCTCATAATCTGATGTGGATCTAAATGATGATCCTACAATTCCTTTTAAAGTAAAGTTATATATTTATGTACATTAAAGAAATGAATACCTTATTAAGGAAAATGGATAAACCTTACATGATTAAGTTATTAAATTAAATTTGCCTTAATCTCACCAAAAACAGGTTGTAGCTAATTGTTTTGTAGCTGAGAGCCTCTGTGCAGTTTTCAACGAAACAAAATTTGATATAATTCAAAATTTCAAATGGTAAAGAAGAGACTATCGTCCAAAATTATAGTGCTATACTGTGCCTGCTACAATAAATTCATAATAATGCTTATAAAATGGAAATAAATTCTTTTAATAATTTAAGAAAATTAGTGGGATCAGTGGAATCACTGCAATGAATATGCCTGAGTTCATATATTTGTTCTTAGGAACAGAATAGCTTCAGTCGGAGTCGGAGTCTGGACAATTTTACCGACTCCGACTCCACAAGCCGAAATTTCCTCCGACTCCTCGACTCCGACTCCACAGCCCTGGTAGGTATAGAAGCGTGTTAAAGCAGAAGAGGTTGCAGCAGGAAGAAAATAGGAGGAAATTATTGTTAAAGAAACAGTTAGAATCAGTGAAAACAGAATGTGAGAAAAGGCTCAAAAATCAAGGAAGAGCAGAGAGACCTTCCACCAACAAAAACAGAAACGTTTACTTTTCCTGAAAAAAAAATTAGCTGCTGCAATTAAAACTAAGAATAAAACAAAACCAAATGAGTGAATATAACATGGGGAAGAAAACTAATTATTTGGTAAGTACAGGTTGTACCTCTCTAGTCCAGCATTCTGTGGTCCGGAACGATTTTAGTTTGCCCATGGAGAAAATTAATTTGAGTCTGGTACTGTATTTTCGATGTTTGGCTAAATTTGGCCTTATTTGCCCTACTTTTTTGGCAAATTACTACCTGTAATAAAGCAACATCCTAATAAACCAACAAAAATAACACAGATAAAGTTAAATAAAAACTAAAAACAACACAGAAAAGTTCTTATGTTCTACAGCTTCAGCTAGAGTTGAACCTGATGACTTGGCAACTTCGTCATCCGAGTAAAAACACACACAACAACATTGGCTGTCCTTATGTTTTCAACTTTACCACCACTGGTGGGTAGAATTTTCATTTTAAATTCAGAAACAATAATTAAAATATATATGAACAGTAAATAAGTGTTGCTTTCATATTCTTATGTAGAGTAATGACGATATGTTTACACATGTGCTCACTTACATACGTGATCTCACTTTTTTTTTTACCATTAATGGTTAGCTACTGCCATTGTTCCATTTATTAACATTAAATAACATTACTTAAAACAACTACAGCTACAATCAGGGTCTTATTTTCTTCAGTTTTATATGTAGAACCAATCAGTCACTGGTTTTGTAAACATTAACGAAAACAATGCCGGTAGCTGTCTCGTTTCATCGTGTGTTTTAATATTCTACGTATTTTTAATGAATTGTATTGTTCATTTTGCACACATAAACATTAATTCAATAAAAAAATAAAGAAACATTAATTAAAACATATATGAACAGTAAATAAGTGTTGCTTTCATATTCTTATGTAATGACGATATGTTTTCACATGTGCGCACTTACATACGCGATCTCTCTTATTTTTTTTACAATTAATGGTTAGCTACTTCCATTGTTCCATTTATTAACATTAAATAACATTACTCAAAACAACCATATTAATTTTACTACAGCTACAACCAGGGTCTTATTTTCTTCAGTTTTATATGTAGAACCAGTCAGTCACTGGTTTTGTAAACAACGAAAACAATGCTGTCTTGTCTCCTCGTGTATTTAATATCCTACGTATTATTAATGAATTGTATTGTTCATTTTGCACACATAAACATTAATTCAATCAAAAAGACATTCAGTAATAAACAATAATGAATCTTTTGTACATCGAGAAATGATGCTGTTTACACAATTGTGCATGTCTGAACGTTGGCGAGCCGCTCAAACCCGTCGAAATTTTAAATTGTGCGGTTTTTTTTTGTGTTCAAATAAAAAACGTCGAATTAAAAACTCGCAAAATTTGAGAACCTACTGTACAACATTTAACCCTTCAATATGTCTTCAAAGAGACCATGAAGCAGTGAAAGTGGTGCTAATGCTTCCAAGTGTATGCACAAGTCACTATCTATCCAGGAAAAGGGTGAATTTCCATGGTCCGGCACCAGTCAGGTCCCGAGGTTGCCGGACTAGAGAGGTACAACCTGTATTAAATTATTAATTCTCACACAATACAGTGCCAAAAATGCTTACCTTTTAGTTTATCTAATGGTAGACCCGGCTGCTATATGTGACCAAGTCCCAGGTTGATGATCTGACTTTCTGCCTCCTTTACACACAATTGCAGGGTCTCAATTGTTTCCCTTTGACAACACAACATACATATATTGTTTCTCACTATTTTTGTTGTTGTCTTTATTATTATTATTATTATTATTATTATCATCATCATCATCATCATCATTATCATCATTTCATTATTTTTGTTTTTATAAATTTTATTTATTATTATTATTATTATTATTATTACAGTATTATTACTACTACTACTACTACTACTACGAACGTGGCCTCCAGCCTCCCCCAATAGCCACACCTTCACCACCATTTTATTACCTTAATATTAAATATCCTAATACATAAGAAGCTATCCTAGCTGTGCTGAGTTAGTTGAGCCGCAGATCTATGCAGCATTCAGTGACTGTAGCCTCATAGTCAATATCTGCAGCAGTTGTCAGAGTAGGGGCAGAAGCTCTCGTTCCCCTGAGGCAGAGCAAAGCCGACCGAAGGAGAGAGAAGGACAGTCAACATCTCATCCAGGCTGTAACATAACTTCTGGGCTGCTGCTTCTGTTCGGAGATCAACTCCGCGAGTCTGGCGTAGAAACATCTTGCACTTGGGCCCATCCCACCAGAGGTTGTGAACACTAGATGAGTGAAGCTGCCTTGATCAATGTTTTGAATTCTCTCCCCATATGCCCTTCTCTTGTCGTTCTCATTCCTCCTATGTGCAGCATCGAGAGCTAGGTTACGGTGACATACTACTACTACTACTACTACTAATAATAACAATAATAATAATAATAATAATAATAATAATAATAATACAACAACTACAACTACATTTATGCCTCCTAGACCCTGATGTGGCTCAGTGACCTGTGCCCTGGTAGGTTAATCCCATATTAAAAAAAAAAATTAATAAATAAAAAATAAATTAGGCACTCATGCAATGAGTAACAATGTGAGAAATTAAGTTAAATGTGGTAAAAACTTCCAGGATAGGTGTTTCCCTGGACCCACCACTCACATCCCTGGGATACAGTGTCTTGCATTTCTTTTCCTGTTGATATCAATTCAAATATTTTTGGTGTGTTGCAGGTACAGCCTAACACATGTAACCCCAGCAATGATGTTGGCATCTTTGATAAAGGATGGCAAGTGTTTGGTATGCCATTAAAGGAAGAAGAGTTCCAAGGACAAATCCAAGATGTTGATGAAATTGTCAAAAAAGAAGAAATTGACTACGATGAGAATATGTCATACGAACAACCCGAGAAAGATGTAAGTGTGAAGGAAGAAAACCTAGACAGTGACATGTGTGTGACAGTAGGATCACAGTACAGTGATGCATCGGAGAAGGAAGACAGTGATGGTGGAAACTTGTATGTGACTGTAGGAATACAGGATACTAGTGCAGATATGCAGGAAGACAACATATAAACAGTTATTTTAGATGAGATGTAACCACTGATACAGAAAGGAGTGGTCATGTTACATCTATAGAGAATGGGCTACTTTAGGTAAAGTTTTTGATATATTTTACAGTAATATTAGGAAATTTAATAAGAGAAAGAATAAGAATGAGAGATGAATTTATAAGGTGAAGAACTCTTTACTGTACTGTACAGGTCGTCCCCACTTAACACGAGTTTGCACAACTTCGCGTTAGCTGTCTCAGTCTGCCATTTGACTGTTGTCTGGGTCACCCACATTGTAGTGACTGGCTATTGTTTGATGATTTGTCCTTATAATTGCAATGCAACCATAAAGTAACAAGAGATGAAAGTGAAAGTTTTGGAACATTTTGAAGAAGGAGAGAGCACTGCCTACACAACAGGTGCAGTGAGCATTCATGAGTCAACCATATGCAGTGTACAGTCCCTCATAAAAGTATCGTTAGCCGTGGGAGTCGATGCGATTCAAGGCTTTCCGAGCAATGTTACTCCACCTGTTCCTGAACGGTTGGTAGTTCTACATGTGGCCTTTAAGCATAAACAAGAATATGCATTTTCAAACGATATATCCATTAATATTGCTTATGGATTTCTTGTTATAGTGAAGTATCTAGTATACCATACAAGGGTGATTCCCTCCCCTATCTCCAGGTGTTGCTGATATTGCTAGCAGGCTTATGATGGTGTACTGGGGATCATATCAAAGCATTTCGTCCAGCATTTCAAATTGTAGTGACATGATCTGACAATACTTTTTTCGGGGGACTGTACATACTATTTGTGCTAATGTAGGTTATTACGACAGTCAATAATTCTTACTGTCACAATATTATCTGGCTTCTTCAACTTAAGGCTGAGAGTGTAAGAAAACCTTTAAATATGTTTATTTTCATTTCTTGGAGAAGCATTAAATACTTTTAATACTGTACTGCATGTTTCGGTAAATCATTTTTAAAGGTTTAATAAACAGACATCAGATGGATGGCAGCATGAGTAGGTCTGTCATCTGGTACAGGCCGACTAATACTGTACTCTGTTCCCTCATGACACAACAGATATAAAGTCCACCTTTAGTTCTTTTGCTTCGTAAGTCACATTGAGTGTGAACAACTGTGTTACAGGAAGCAGTTGTTCACACTCAAGGAGTCACTGACCCACATCGGGGCCTGGGGGGCAAAAATATAATAATAATAATAATATAGAGTAAATAAAATTTATAATCAAAAATACAAAATTGAAAATAAAATACTTTAATACATTAATAATGATAATAATAATATCACTAAAAATAATAAAGAAATACAAAAATGAAAATATATAAAAAATGAGAAACAATATACAGTATGTATGTTGTGTTGTCAGTAGTTAGAGAAACAATTTAGACCCTACAATTCTGTATAAATGAGGCAGAAAGTCCGATCATCAACCTGGAACTTGGTCACAATTATTGTTTGTTGGAGCTGTAATCTCATAACCCTGCTCCCGCATGCTCTCTCTGTCCTTCCAACAAGTACAGTGATCCCTCGGTTAATGAACGCCTCGGTTAACGAAATTTCGTTAAATGAATTACCTTCCATAAGAATCTTCAACTCGATTAACGAACAAAAATTCAGTTAACGAAATCCTTACGAAATCGTGTCAATGTGTTTTCTCCTGCTTTTGCCTGCTCACCAGCTGTAGTATTAGTCCGCTAATACAGTAATCGGTTCTAGGGCTTAAATTCGTTACTATTTGAGTCAATATCAAGAAGGTTGTACTATTCAATAATTTTCCAAGTCTTATATTAAAATTTTTAGTAATTTTAACAATTATTTAACATACATGAAGTACAGGGAACTAGTTTTTAGCGCGCCAAACAGCCACTTGACTCACCCAGAATGGCGTCAGTTTGTGTCTCTGCTCAGTGGAGGTAGCATCTTGCTTGAGACTCTCTTGAACATAAACTATTTTTACGTTTTTACAGTACAATTATTGGTCATTCTGAAATTTATTTTACATATTGACAATATATAATGCAGTGCAGTGTTGATTTAAAGAAAATAATCTTGAATTACACCTGGTGAACTTAAAATTTTATGGGTGAAATGACGGCATGAAGCATGGGGTGACTTCTCTTCCATCCCCACTTCCTTCTCTTCTCCTCCACCCCCACTTCTAATTCCCATCATCATCATCATCAACCAGAAGCCTTCTACATGCACACCTCAAAGTAAGTGTACTTTACTGCATTTATTTTCAGTTTGTATGTAATTTTCGGTGAGCTGGAACCAATTACCCAAAATCCCATTGAAACAATGGTTTCGGTTAAAAAAAATTTTGGTTAACGAACGACCTTCTGGAACGAATTGTGTTTGTTAACCGAGGGACCACTGTATATCTCATCTGTTATGCTGTTTTCAGTTACTTATTTGGATTAATTTACCACAAATTCTTACAGATTTTTTTTTTTTTTTAATGTTCCTCATGTTAAGCAGGGACTACAGTACACAGTTACAGGAATATTTGATAAATTTAGATTTTCTGCTGTCTCTAGTATTTAAATAATGTGTACTGTACTGTACTTGCCAACCATAGTTTTACTTTCTAGCATTCTCCAGTTGGCAAATGCTCTTGCTAATGGGTAAATACGGGTTTTGGGAAGTGATCCCTGAGACACATACGTACAGTAGAATCCAATACAATACAGTAAATGTAACCTTGTTTGAAACTGTAGATGTGTTTTGAAAAAGTAACTTGTTAAGTGAAATAGAGTTTAAAAAAAAATTGAATTTCCCATTGAAGTATTGAAGTGCAGTAAATATAAGAATGTGTGCAAGAGAGGGGAAGAGTAGCAAGTGCAGTATTAATTAAATGCAAAGTGTTGTAAAAGTGTTTTATTTGCCTTAAATCCATATAGTTTCTGCATATTGTAATGACTGGTGAGGCTGAGGTGAGTAAAAGTTATACAGTACTGGCCAGATTAGTACTGTCAGGGTCAACAAGGGTTGGTAACATAAGGTATGCTGTTTCTTAACTTTTAAAAAAAAAATTTAGTTTGTTTGAAATATTCAATAAATAGCTGCTTAGAACACACCATATCTTCTTTATAGGAAGCCAGTGGCTGAACCCTCCTTTACACTTTAGACTCACCTGGTGTCTTGATAGACTCGCCTGGTGTCACATTAGACTCACCTGGGGTTATGTTAGACTCACCTGGTGTCATGTTAGACTCACCTGGTGTCATGTTAGACTCACCTGGTGTCATGTTAGACTCACCTGGTGTCACAGACTAAATCAGATGTTAACTCGTGCCAAGACCAAGTCGTACACATTCCTGGCTGTTGTTATAACTTAACGGGCTGCTGGTCATCAGTGTGCCAGGATTAGTGACCGTCAGGTGCAGGTAATTTATCTCCATTAGCACCTGCCTCTGGTCAGTCAGTGTCAAGTTGTCAACATTTCAAAGTTCACGAAGCAGAAGGTTTCTGGGCTACCTCTAATGTATGATATATTCATAATCAGTCTGTAGGTCTAAGATTCCTCAGCAGTGACTGTCTTGAAATTACAGTCGTAACTCAGCAGTTACAAGGACTGTAGACACTGGTCCAGTGTTTCCCCTGGCCCGTGTTGATGAGTGCCCATTTTTTGGCCTTATTTAAATGGCTTTGATGAGACCTACAGTTTCCTCATATGAGTTGCAATCAGCAATGTAGTCTTAGATGGAGGGGCTATGTAGTTGATTAGGTGGCAGTCTAGTTTATTTTTAATGTTCTTCTGACCCATAAGAGCGGTAAAAAAATATACTGTCAACCCTCACTTTACGCGGTTAATTCAACCCACAGGATACCGCGTAAAGTGAACAACATAACATATGGGATTAATTGAAATAGAGACCGGGCCGACCCCCAAACTCCACTTTTTGACGACACACAACTATGCTGTAATAAAAATGTTATCTTAACTTTATGATGGTATGCACACACAATTAATAATTAAGAGAAATATCAATAATATTAGGTTTTTTAACACTTACATTAGTAGAAAAGATGGCTGGGCACACGGGGATGGGCGGTTGGTTCCGAGGCAGAGGGCAGATTATATATTGGCCCTCACCTGTATCACTTGTACCAATTGTATCACTATCCACCACAGAGGCTTGCAGGGCCTCATTGTCAAACCCCTCAAAGTCCATATCCTCACTATAATTATCACTATCACTGACTTGGGCCGGCTGTGGTGGGTGGCGGGTGAAGAACTCGGTAATGTTTTGATGACTGGGCGACCTTGTGCGTACCATGCTCGCGCCGCTTACACAACATGGCGGATGGCGGGAGGTTTGAATCAAAAAATGGCGCGGTTCGCCAGCCGCTCTCCGCGTAAAGGGGTACACGCACCGCGGAATGTGAGCATTCCTGTTTCGGCAGGGTACCGCGTAAACGTGGAAACGCGGAATGTGGGACTGCGTAAAACGAGGGTTGACTGTACACTTTAAAGCTAAATCTAAATAGATACAGTATAGGTAATGCATAGTTGAAGGAGTTCAGTAAAACTATCTGTAATTTTATAATTGTTTTAATCATAATGTTTAGGCAAAAAAAAATGCAAATCTCAAAACAATACATTGAAGAACCAAATATTGTAAATAGTAAAAGGTATTGCTCACTCATAACATAACACCTCCTTCCCATACTGCTGATCAGGTGTGGGGAATCAGTGTACAGAGAAGTAAGGTTGACAGACTTATAATAGTGCTAGTTTGTATATTGATGTAAATACATTGTTTTTAAACTAAATTGATGTAAACACTTCTAATAATAGCTACTACAAGACTGCAACATAAAAGAAAAATGGTTTACATATTGCACAGAAATAAGACTGGCAAAAACAAATAATAATTTACATCTGGTTTGTACAGCATACAGTACACACTATATAAATATACCTGAGGTCCTTAACACACAACACAACACTTCTTATTCCAGACCTGTACACCATCACTTTTCTAGTCATCTTAGCTCAGTGGTTCTCAACCTTGATCACTCCATTCCCCCCTAGAGGAATTTTTAACAACCTCGTGGACTCCTTCATTTCCCCCCCCCCCACAAATAATGTTGTAAAATAAAATGCAGGTGGAGTGGGCTGGGGTGATGATTCTTCAGGTGGAGTGGGCTGGGGTGATGATTCTTCAGGTGGAGTGGGCTGGGGTGATGATTCTTCAGGTGGAGTGGACTGGGGTGATGATTCTTCGGGTGGAGTGGGCTGGGGTGATGATTCTTCAGGTGGAGTGGGCTGGGTGATGATTCTTCAGGTGGAGTGGGCTGGGGTGATGATTCTTCAGGTGGAGTGGGCTGGGGTGATGATTCTTCAGGTGGAGTGGGCTGGGGTGATGATTCTTCAGGTGGAGTGGGCTGGGGTGATGATTCTTCAGGTGGAGTGGGCTGGGGTGATGATTCTTCAGGTGGAGTGGGCTGGGGTGATGATTCTTCAGGTGGAGTGGGCTGGGGTGGATGATTCTTCAGGTGGAGTGGGCTGGGGTGATGATTCTTCAGGTGGAGTGGGCTGGGGTGATGATTCTTCAGGTGGAGTGGGCTGGGGTGATGATTCTTCAGGTGGAGTGGGCTGGGGTGTGATGATTCTTCAGGTGGAGTGGGCTGGGGTGATGATTCTTCAGGTGGAGTGGGCTGGGGTGATGATTCTTCAGGTGGAGTGGGCTGGGGTGATGATTCTTCAGGTGGGTGGGCTGGGTGATGATTCTTCAGGGTGGAGTGGGCTGGTGATGATTCTTCAGGTGGAGTGGGCTGGGGTGATGATTCTTCAGGTTGGAGTGGGCTGGGGTGATGATTCTTCAGGTGGAGTGGACTGGGGTGATGATTCTTCAGGTGGAGTGGACTGGGTGATGATTCTTCAGGTGGAGTGGGCTGGGGTGATGATTCTTCAGGTGGGGTGGGATGGGTGATGATTCTTCAGGTGGAGTGGGCTGGGGTGGATGATTCTTCAGGTGGAGTGGGCTGGGGTGATGATTCTTCAGGTGTGGACTGGGGTGATGATTCTTCAGGTGGAGTGGGCTGGGGTGGTGATTCTTCAGGTGGAGTGGGCTGGGGGTGATGATTCTTCAGGTGGAGTGGGCTGGGGTGATGATTCTTCAGGTGGAGTGGGCTGGGGTGATGATTCTTCAGGTGGAGGTGGGCTGGGGTGATGATTCTTCAGGTGGAGTGGGCTGGGGTGATGATTCTTCAGGTGGA